GTTTAACAAATGATAACTGTGTTTTTACATCTTACAAACTATCAAACTAAGCGTAATGTATTGTAACGTAATGTTGAAGTGTTTAGTTGTGTACCTAACAATAGTCACAAATAAAAAGGCCATTTTTATAATTGGAACATTCCTCATGCCAACACTCTTGGCATTTACAGCACTGGATCCATTCTTCTGTTCAAGGGTTCCTCTTCACAAGCAGGACATCTTATAGCACCGTCCGTTGAAGTTGATACAACTGGAATGTTTGGCCTGAATTTTATAGACTTAGGGCTACAGGAAAAGTTTGAGTTTTTTTTACTCCCTTTTTAGCTTTACGAGCTTTTTTTCTCTGTTTTTTTTAAACTTCTTGTTCTTCTTCTGCTTTTCCCTTTGTTCTAACATTTTTTTGATGGGTGCGCTTGTAAGAATGCTAGAGTTTTTTGCTTTTTCTTTTTTTTCTCACGTTATGTTTCTTTAGGCAATGGTTTGAAATAAAAAACACTAACAGGCTTCTTTGGTGCATCGGAATCAGCATTTGCCATAAGTTCTGGTTTTTCTGGAGGGCTTATATGTTGGTTTTCTATTATCGGGGTCTGAGGATTAGCCCTATTATTCTCAGTTTCATCGCAAGCAGCAGCATAGTTAGTAGTTTTTACTGCAGCATAGTCATGTTTGCTAAACACAAGAGGATTATGAGGCTCGATCCTATATTCTTTAAACCCTTTCAACGGCATTTCCAACTGTAACTGATTTGAAGTAAGTGATGCTCAAAACCTCACCAATATTTTTGTCTGTGATAGTTTGTTCTGGATAAGTGACCATAAAGTTGCCACATGCTTGGCTATAGTACATTTTTAACTGGTCGAAAAATGACACAACTAGGCGCTGGAGACGATGTGATGTGTGCGACGGCAGCCCAACCATGATGATGTTTTTCGCTCTGCAATATAAGATAGCCTGAAAAGTTATATGAGTTTTGTGATTGTCAAAAATCAACAGAGTAGGAGATTCTTTGCTTGGTTTCACATGAAGATAAAAGTGCTTGAAAAAAGAGAAAAAGGCGCCCTCATTGTTCCAGTCCTTATCACTACAGTTGCCTACAGTTCCTGGTGGGGCTCTTTCTACAAGTTAAGGAAGCATTCGTTTTCTCGCAAAAAATCAGAAAAGGTTAAAGATACTACTAAAGGAAAAGTAGAAAGGGCCTACTTTTGCACAGGGGCCCAGGGCCTCAAAGAGTCTTAAGACGTCATTGTCTCATGTTACGGATCTCGTTCTCGCTTCATATAACATTGCCAGGCACATCGGATTAGTTTGAACGTGCTCGACATTCCTTTATCCATTGGTGTCGGCTGTGCTATGACTTATACGACCGCAACTTTGAACAATTCCTGTAATTCCCTTGCCTTTGGATTTCTGACGTCTAGCTGTGATGCATTGTTCGTATTGTAAACATGCTTTGCTTCAAATAAAGGATTTTTCTTACCACTTATTGGCCCTTTTCATTACACTCGTTATTCCACCCTTTATAACGGTTTTTGCGAATCACTCCAATTAAACGTGATTTGCGACTCCATGTTCTATATTGTGATATATCGTCCTCATGCTGTCTACTATCTCCCCTCTGAATTGGTCGGTCGAATTCGGCAACAACCTGTATATAAAAACTCATATGCTCAGTTTTCCGTGATCATTAAATATATAAAACAAAATACGCGTTTAGAAGTTTTTTAAAAGAATAATAGAAATTTTACAATTTACGTGTAATATAAGAAGGCGAGTGGAACACACAGGAATTTTTCAGGGGGGGGGGACTTGGCTCGAGAGTCCACTATTCTCATAACAGGCTCCAATATGCCACCCAGCATATTCTTTTGATTTTGTCGATTTTCGGGAACAAAAAACAGTAAAAAAATTAACTATTGAAAAAATAAATAGCATTAATTAGTAAAATTCACTATTAATAGTATACTTAACAAAATTTGTAATGGGAGACTATTTCTACTTCCCTTCCTTGTCTTCTCTCGGACCCGGCTAGATGTGTGGGAGGAACTAATTGATCAGACGACATGATTCACTAAAATTGTTTTATTGTCACAATATTCAACACAGACACAATAATAATCCAATTAAGATAGTTTTGAACAATAACTACTGCACGAAGGTGAGACCAGTTAGCATGGGAATAATATTTACGGACATTCAACTAATTTCTACGATAACTTATACAAAATCGTTTTTAACTCGGACGCGCACTAACAATTTACTCTCTAACTTCTATTTAAATAATGAACACAATACCTGAACTCTTGTAATTCAAAAATCCTATAGCTGAAGCCTTGAACACTGGAGGTTGACTTGATCACTTCGCATCCGAGCGATCCTCACTTTGGTAATCTTCAATTCTCACTTAAATAATCTTAGATTCTTCCTTCACTAACTCTCAACACTCACTTATACAGAATTTATATAATAAGCTTAATTTGAATAATCACGTTTTATTACCTTCAGTGAAAGATGATTGAAATAATTATTTCCCTTAAAGAATGCCCAAGGAGTTAGTAGAGCCGCGTATAGATCCGTCACAAATTTTACGTACTATATGCGTGGGATTATCAAGGGCTTTGACGGGTCTGGAACCGGGACCCCTTGTGAGCTCCACTGAAGAAGGCTATTATATATTCAAGAAGAATTAAATTATTGATCGAGAGAAGTTTTTAATAATTTTTTGTTAAAGTATAAAAAAAATCATCCGTGACTCATCTAACTTGATTCCTCTTATTTTTTAATGTATGAAAAATACATGTTTGAAGATAAAGCTAAGAAATCTAGTAGAAACCAATGAAATAGTGCATACATTGATTCTCATTCAAACTGTCAAGCTAAAATGATTTGATAAATTTATCTAGTTCAAAGGAAAAGAAAGAGCAGATGCTCTTTCTTTCAAGACCGCGTGTCTAGTTCCCCCCCTCTCCCCCCTCTATATTGATAAGAATGTAAGAGGAAATGCTGAGTATTTTTTCAAATTCTTTCAGGGTTTTGATGTCCAAGAGCACTACGGTGAAATGGCATAAGTTTGGAGGACTTTTGGAAATTGGGATTTTATCTAATGCTATCAATATTTGCGAGTCATTTTAAATTCCGCTAGTTTCAAGTTTTCTTTGAATAAAAAAAACGATGAGAATAAATAGTTTATGCATACTTTTAAAAAGAATAATAAAAGAAAAATCATCTAAGAAGCTGTATTTTTTAAAATTACTTATAACGCTTATTCATGGTGTTTATCAGAGAAGAAAACAACGAGAATTGTTATGTCAAATACGGAATGTCGATGCATCTCTAGTGTTTATTAATATATGAAGTTATCTGGATTTACAATTGCTCGTAACTTATGAAACGCTTTTCTTCATTAAATGTCGTCTAGAATTCTAACTAATGATAAATTTCCCTCAATATTTAAGTACAAACAGACAAATAGAAATAAATTTATACTTATGAATGTATAAAAAAAAATCATAATTCAAGTATATAATTCCTTCAAATATGTTATTTGAGTGAAATAATGAAAAATACAACTGAGTAAGCTTAAAACCTTAAAAGAAATAGCTTTTATAAAAAACTGAAAATATATTTATTAGAACATATTTCATTTTTCATCTAATGGAATGTTTATATGAAGATTTCAAAATCCAACATTTGTTATAAAATGTAAAACTTACAAATTTGAAGGTAAAGTTTCTTAAAAAAATACCTTTATCCAGTATATCAAAGAAATTCTAGAACAGTCTGATGGTAAATTTTAAAATTGCAGTCGTTTTTCAATTGAAAACAATGGGCAAATAGCAATGTTAAGTTATAAAACTATTATTTTTAATACGTCACAACTGTTAATATGATTTTAGGAAAGATTAATTTATGATGTTTACCAGGAAAAAGTTTGCTTGATCACAGTCAAAAGCGATAACTCTAATTTTTTTTATTCAAACATTAGGGGTCTTTCTGTCTCAAAAACATATCTAGTTTTACTTGCCTTACTGTGATGATAGTTTGTCAATCTGACTAAACATTAAGAGTAAACAAATATTTCATGATTCATTTAGGAAGCTTAAAGTGATAAAACTTTTGATAAAATCTACTTTCTAAAAATATTTTAGTGAGGAGATGTTTGAAAGTAAATACGGTGTACTTAAATTTATTTAACTGGCAAGAAAATAAGTAATTTATTGCAGTTTTTGCTCATAATTTCAGCATTAAAATAACACAATGCATTTTAATTACATCATCAAGTATTGAACGAAATATTCAACTAATTGACTATTTGTTAACAACATTTACTTACTTTTGTTTATTAAAATATGTGAGATTTTATTAAATAATAATAATATTATTATATAAATAAAAGGTGTTGTTATTAAATCATAACCATTTTTGGTAATTATCCTTACAAAGACCATGAAGTTACGTACAGAAACTCACACAAAACAAGCCAAATTCTATTTATACATATGGCTAGTATAAAAAAATAAGATAGTTGATCTTGAGATTTATTGGTTGCTGATATAAATAGATGTTGCTTTCAAGTAACGTTAATCTTTTAATAGCAGTTAATTTGAATTTAGAGTTAGTTTCTTTTTGTGTTATACAGTTAACGTACTGGGTATTGTGTGTGTGTGGAGAGCTACAAAGTCAATTACAGCAACACGTAGAAAATATGACAAATTATAACTTATACCAGTTCATAATGTTAAAAAAAGAAACAAGCAATATAAAAAATATTTGCTTAAGCCAATTTTTACTTTGGTCAACAAAGAAAATTTTTATTTTAGTTACTTTTTAATAAATAATTACTATTAATATAAACATGTATATAAATATGACAGAAAAACAATTTCCATATGTGGTGTTTGAATATATTTAGTTTGTGTTTATTACTATTTATTCTTTAATTAAATTTAACTCTATTCCAATAAAATAGCTTAGTATAAAAAGCACATTCCCAGAAAGTAGGCCATCCCAGGTAGGATTCGAACGCACGTCCTTTGAATTAGATCTCCAATGCGCAAACCATTGCGCAGCAGGGACACGGGACACAACAACCAACTTTTTATATATGTCGTTGGATTATTATTCTCGGTTTTTTTTTGCTCTTTATTCATTAATTCAATATAATAAATGAATTAATGCTTGAAAAAACTATATCAACATCAAATGTCATCTACTACAAGTTTTAAAAAATGTGTTTGAACTTGAGTGGATGAATAAAAAGTATTTAACTAACGATTGAAAATTTGAACAATATATATATATATATATATATATGAAATAGACGTGGCCTTTGAAAGGTATTCTCTGTATGATTACTATTAATTACGATCGATGTTTGCCCGGCTGGAACTGACGAGGCATTCCGGTGATTAATTAAAACGATTTATTATACATCTTGAACACATAAAAGCAAGACAAGGACAACACATCACAAAAACACACTGCAGCCGGCTACATGTTTACTCAGACAAAATACAGAAGCGAAAAAGAGCGCGTCTCCAGGAATCTCGGTATTTATAGGCCGCTCAAATCACATGATCTGAGTGGGTGGATAGATGTAGTTTAAAATCCTCTCGTTAGACGGCTGGTTAACTTATTACTAAAACGTTGGTCCTGAAGGGATGGACCAAAGGCAATTTAAAGTTATTTTAAAGGATTATATTACTGGAATTATTACATATATATATATATACAAATAGTGAACAAATAGTAGGAATTGAAAAATTAAGGAAATCTCATAATTTTATTTTTTATGATTGTATCCGTAATGAATTTATTTTATGGATAAAATATCGCCAGAAGCATGTTGGTGACCACCAAGCGATCACTGTCTTGACCTTGTAACCGACATAAATTTGAGTGGAGTCGTGGACTCGAATTCTGATGCAACTATAAATCCATTAAAAGTACTATTGATGTACACGAAATATGGTGGGGGTTGTCGTCGTCATGTGGAAGCTTGGACAAAGAGTGCATTCACGGGAAAGGCCAAAGTAGCCTAGTGGTCATAATCACGAACTGGGGGGGGGGAAAGCATGTCATGAGTTCGAGTCGTTTATAGCTCTCGTGTTGTTTCACAGTGTGGCGTTAATAACAAACACACATCATTTCATGCATTGTCCTTGTTACTTAATTGTGTTCCAAAATGATGAAAATGGTCTCAATAGCCTTCATATTATTTCAAAATGTAACGTTAAGTGAACCGATCAATATATTTCTTCACTTAAATGAGTATTATAATTTATGCTGTTCGCATTGCAGCTTAGACAGACAAAGTATATGACAATATTAATCGATTTGCAAGCACATTTATACACAATATATTTTCGTCTACATTACTAATAGTTAGCTCTTCAGACTAGAAAATGTATAATAGAGATCTAATTAGAGAGAATGCCGTTGGTGAAGGTTTAATTTTAGACAACATTATCAACATTTCAGTAAATACTCTTTTAGCAACATGCAACTTTGTTATTTTCAATTGCAAGTTAGATTGTGTTTATACATCTTTTAACATCATCACAATTATGCTTGGTGCCATTTATTTATTTCTGTTGAGGCATACGTAAGGTTAATAACAGGCATAGAATTTTCAATGGCATGATATTACAATTTTAATACTCGCATATTTCTGAGCAGTTCCTTGATTAATTTCATTCATGTCATGTTTTCCAATTCATTTAATATTGGATTTGAGTTCAGATATGTTTCCCTAATTTTTAAATAATATATTTCGAACAACATATATCCATTTGAAAGACGGAACAGTTAAATTAACCAGTCAACTGTGGGATTGCCCTTTGAGAGCGCACATCTATGTGAGTCACGGAAATGGAGCGATGACAAGAAAACTTCAATCATAGAGTGTCACTGTTACAATATTAGATTAAAAAGATGCGATTCTTCTATAAAATTGCCAATTTCACAAAATTAAAATGGCAAACATGTTCTCAAATTATAAAGTGGCCGCGATAGCCTAGTGGTCACGGTATTGAATCGTGGCTGGCTTGTCACGAGTTCGAGCCCAGTACCACTAAAGACCTGTCCGTGTAGGGGCGCGATGCGCGTTAAATCTGTTGAGAGCTCAAAAGTCTTCCAATTGTGTGGAGTGGTAGTTAGGAGTGTGGAGGGGGTGCCTCGTCACTTGACCGTGGTTCAAAATTACGAGGTCCGTCGCCAAAAGCCCTCGCGTAGCTGAACAGTGGGACTTTAATATTCTCTCACTCTCAAATTATAAGATGTTTGGAATATTTTGAGCCAGTAAAAGAAGGTAAAACAAATAAATAAAAAATATGAAAAATTCAAGTTAAAATGCGTCCTTGTATGCACCGACTGAAACAACGTATTAGTTTGCATAACGAACTTGTTTATGTGTAATAATAATGTTTCTCAGATGTTAGCTTAAAAGGTGCAAAGGCCTCGTCATTTGACCTTGGTTCAAAATTACGAGGTCCGTCGCCAAAAGCCCTCGTGTAGCTGAACAGTGGGACGTTAATATTCACTCATTCACTCACTCTCCAATTATAAGATCTTTAGAATATTTTGAGACAGCAAAAGAAGGGATAAAACAAATAAATTAACAGCATGAGAAAAATTTAAGTTACTCATACGTCCCCCTATGTACCGACTGAAACAGCGTATAAGTTTGCATAACGAGCTTGTTTATGTGCAATAATAATGTTTCTCAGATGTTAGCTTAAAAGGTGCAAAGGCAAAATTGGGAAAGTTTATTTATAATAAGGTACATTTAGGTATGACCAGCCATGGGACAAATGCGTGACGCTGATCAGACGTTATGCCCATTGATTACAGCTGACCCGAAGTTATCTAACTATAGAGTGGTGTAAATGTCAATTTTTTATGTTAGAATCCACGTGCTGATATTTGATTCATGGCCCAATGCCGAGCTTCCTAAAAACAGATATTTTATTGGTGGGGGAAAGGTAAAGATGCTTTCTGGTAAGAGGACTGTGATTAACCTTACAGCACTTCTCCAGAACTTTCTTAGTGTCAAGACAGGTATAAAATACTTTGTCAATAAAGAAGGATGTAAATTAGTGTATGTTTAGCTCTCTTAATTCTGAAATTATAACTTTCACTAAAATTCAGGTGGAATTTAAATTCTTATTTTTGTATGTATTTAATTTTTGCTTGTGTTTCTCGAGTAATATGTTTGCAATATATGTTTATGTTAACCAAATAAATAAATATTAGTAATACTCCAGTATCAACTACCGATCACCATGATTTTTTTCAACAGGCAAGCTCAACTAAGCATAATATTTAACACAGAACGCAAAAATGGAAGAATTTTATTTAAATTGTCAATTAAAAATTTTTCACATTATTTTTTATTTTATAATTGTAGAACACAAAAACCCTTCAATGTTTGCTTTTTATAAGTACACTCTGCATGCTATGAAAAGTGTTTCATGTATCTTAAAATAATTTCTCTCATGCTTTCAAAAAAAATTTCATGTTCGTTTCTCTTTTTTAAACGGTGTGTACATGTTCAAATATGCACATCTAAAGAATGGAGAAATTCTTAGTCTTACATTACTATGAGTACAGAGATAATATATCGGATTTTTTTAATTAACTTTTCCATGTTCATTTCTTCCAAGCATCAAATTGCACATTGCCTTGCCAATCCCTGTTCTATATCGAAAATTTTCACAAGAAACATAATCCCCGCCTTCAATGAAAAATTCCCTCCTTCACCACAAAGAAAATCCCGAATGAGAAGTATTTCAATATCATGATCAAATTGCTTCAACACAAAGAAAATCCTAGATGAAAAGTATTTCAGTATCATGATCAAACCACTTCACCACAAAAAAATTCCGAGTAAGAAGTATTTCAGTATCATGATCAATTGCTTCACCTCAAAGAAAATCCCGACTAAGAAGTATTTCAGTCTCATGATCAATCGCTGCACCTCAGAGAAAATCCCGAATGAGAAGTATTTCAGTATCATGATCAAATTGCTTCAGCACAAAACAGAATAACGAATGAGTATTTCAATTATCATGATCAAATTGCTTCACCTCAAAGAAAATACCGAATGAGAGAAGTATTTCAGTATCATGAACAAATTACATCTCTTTAAAAACACTAATCTCACTATTAGAATTAAGAATATATGTCCAAATCAAAGCATAAAGAAAAAGATATCAATGCTTATATAGCGTATGGCAAACCAGTTAAGGGGTTAATCAGCCAAAAACTTCAGAGAAGAGTTATGAATACTTATCCCCCCCCCATCTCAATTTCTGAATAACATATAATCAGCTAACATTTTTTGCAACGTTTATAACTATAACTTTTGATCCGACACAGAGGCTGTAAACATTAAAGTTAATGATCAGACATTTGTCAGACATTACTCTTTTTAATCGGACGGGAAAAACTTAACATTTGGAGAACAATGCGAAGGAATATTTGGCGCTAAAGCAATGTTAAAGAAAGACCAGCAATTTAACTCAAAATAGCATAACATTCTTCCAATTAACGTGTGTCATAATTTATGTACTTAATGCTCAGACGACATATGATTTTTCAGACATAAAATCAAACAATTGTAGTATTTAACTTGAAGCATGAACATCATGATCAATAATCAAAAAAATAAAGATGAAGTAACCCCACCAAGCATTGAGATTATATTTATTTAAGTAAAAACAAAGAAATAATTTATGGAAATACAAATTGGCTGTAAGTGTGGTGTTTGTTATTTTCTGCCTAATTACTTCTCTCTTACCCTTTACTTAAAAATTACTTAATTTGGTGGTTAAGGGCTTTATTTCTGGCTTAATGAATTGTAAAACATTTTGACAATTGCTAAATCATTTTCTTTTATTTGGTAAAGTATTTAAAGAAATAATTTACTACAAAAAGCACATTTTACATAAAATTCTACGAAAAAAATACTAAAAGTAAATTTCTACTTTCATAAAAATAAAAATCATGCACATAAAGAAGATTAATTTTGAGTGTAGTTAATTATAAAGGATGTGTATAGTAATTGTATTAGTGTT